TTTTTTATTTTTCTTTTGTTTCCTATCTGATGTGTCTGCAAAGACTAACATGGCCACCACTTAAAAAATTATTTCCATGTAATTAGTTATTGATGGCCTATTAAATAGGCACAAATTTGTATTGCTGGTGTCTTTTCCATTTTAGTTTTTTTCTACTTTAACAAAATAACATAATTTTGCTGTAAGAGAGACAATAAAAAACACACAGTGGCAGCTAATAAATTACTAAGCTCACCATTACAAAGAAGAAAGCTGAGTAATTAAGACAAATAGTATACAGTGCTGCCCTGCTGGACAATGACCTCGCAAAACGACAAATCCACATGACGATAACTTTTTGTGATTGCTATAGCACTTCACAAAACAGTCTTTCCTATGGGCGATTTTCGCTGGACGATGTTTCCGTCCGTACTTTGCAAGACTTTTTTTTCAGGACTGATGCTTCGCAAGATGGATTTCAATACATTCCAATGGGGAAACGCTTTTCACAAGACGATATTTTCACAAGACAGCAATTTCAATGGAATGGATTAACATCGTCTTGCGGGGCACCACTGTACAGTGGTGTCTTGCTAGACAATTACCCTGCATGACAGTTTTTTCGCTATACATTGACTTTTTGCGGTTGCTATAGTGATTCGCAAAACAGTTGTTCCTATGCGGGAATTTCGTTGGACAATGTTTGGTCCCTGCTTCGCAAACCGATTTTCGCTAGACGACGATTTTGACACCTCCCTCCACGCTCGCAAAACAGGTGTTTTGGGGACCTAAGCTCACAAGATAGTGATTTAAAAGCTGATCGGCGGTTCGCAAAGCAGCTTTCCTATGGCCGATCTTCACTAGACAATGACGATTCTTCCCCATTGGAACACATTAAACAGGTTTCAATGCATTCCAATGGGGAAATGCTTTTCGCTAGACAATGATTTCACTAAACAGCGATTTAAGTGGAACAGATTATCATCGTCTAGTGAGGCACCACTGTATTATGAAACCCCCCAGGCCAAAGAAGGGAAAAAGAGCAGAACCTATAAATAGAACTGTTTAAATTGAACACAATTTTGTTTAGTTAAAAATGCCTCTTACCTCTCTTTCTTGCTCATAGACTTTGCCTACCAAAAAACTGTTATTCTGAATAATCTTTTTCTGTTCCTCTATTTCTTGTTCAAATTTTTTTGTCAAGGATTGCTCTGGCAAAAGGATAAAATTAGCAGATACATATTAATAGAATGTATGTGGCTTATGAAACAAAAATGTTCATAGATTTTATTTCATGATGTTATGCATTTGAAGCATCTAGAGCAGTGGTTCCCCAGCTTCGATAACCTAGGAGAGTTCTTGGGCTGCAATTCCCAGAAGCCTTCCTCACCAGCTGTACTGGCTGGGGTTTCTGGGAATTACAGGCCAAGAACATCTGGGGACCCAAAGCTGGGGAAACCACTAATCATGTGCTTTCCCCAGCTTTAACCGACGACCACAACAGTGTCCTCTCATAGAACACAGGTGATGTGGGGAATATTGGGTCCTTTTAGTGCAGAGGTGGGCAACTTTTGGCCCTCTGGATACTGTTTGATTTTTTTTGCAGAGGTGGGCAACTTTTGGCCCTCTGGGTACTGTTTGATTTTGTGTGCGTGTGTGTGTGTGTGTATGCGCACACATGTGCGTGCGCATGCACACGCACACACACACACACAGACACACAGAGTGCAATATATTTTCCTCAGAAATATCCCAACACACACACACTGCAATATATTTTCCTCAGAAATGTCCCGTTCAGAAAATGTTCCACTTGTAACTGGTTCTTCCATGGTTATCTCCTTCCTTACCTCTTTAGTTCAAAGTGACCTGTTTCTTGGATTTTGCCCCCTCATCATTAACTGCTTCCTGTTCAGAAACACAATCTTCCCAAATTAGCCCTTCATTACAGTTCCTGACATCTGTGGGAAGTGAATCAGTAGCTAGATTGCTGGCCAGGGCTGGATGCCGGGAGTGGCCCCTTTGTGACAGCTCCACAGGTGCTGCCAGTCCATTTCTGAGCCTTGTTCAAGGCACTAGCTATGACTTGAGCATGAAGGCCCTGAATGAATTGGGTCCGAGATCTGAAGGGTTTGTGTGTCTCCAATAGGACAGAGGAGGTCCTCCTCCTCGTGCTGTCATCCTCGCAACACATTTGATGAAAACGTGAGAGATGAACTTTTCAATGCTTGCCCAGCAAATGTGGAACTCCCTTTCAGTGAGAGACCTGGGTGCCTCCATTTTTGTTGTCGTGCTAAGAGGCAAAGATTTTTCCACTGAGAAAAGCTTTTAGCAACTAAATCAGACAGACGTCAATACAGGACATTACATATTTCCCTATTTTTGCATTTGACCTTGAAAATATTTAAAACTGGTTTTAAATTTTGTTGTTGTTATGTGCCATCAAGTCAGAACCTTTAGAGATAGGCACAAATCATGTTGTGTTTGGTCATCTCAAGTCATTGGCATGGCACCATAGGTGTGTGGTTTCCTCACTCATCAGCTGGCGTGCACTCGTCTTTCCTTCCTCTTCATGTACTATCTTCCAGTCCTGGCAGCAGCACGGCATTCCTTTCTCTGCCTCCTCCAGCAGCCTCCCCATTCAAAGGCTGCATTGCTGAAATCCTTGCCCAATCTCCTCATCTGAAAGGGGGGCTGCTGAAGGAGGCAGAGAAGGGATGTCCAGGCTCCTGCTAAGACTGGAAGATCATGTGATAAGGAGAGAACGAGCAGCACATGCTAGCTGGTCAGTGGGGGAGTTGGCAGGGGGTGGGGAAAGGGAATATTGACAGCTTCAAATGAGCCAGCATGAAGAGATTTGTCCCCATCTCTAGTGATCTTAATAGGGCTTTCAACGTAAGTGAGGTATTGAAGGAGTAGTTTAACCAGTTCCGCACACCCCCAGTTATTTTCCATGCTAATAGGGCTTTCAAGGTAAGTGAGGTACTGAAGTAGTTTAACCAGTTCCACAAACCCCCAGTCATTTTCCATGGCAGAGCCAGTGAACTGAACCAGGTCTCCTGAATCTTATTCCATTACTCTAGTCATAAATGTTACTATGACTGAATCCTGTTGGCATTATACATGCATATTTTTAAAAAATGAACAAGATTGTGGCCTATGTGTTTAATTTTTAAAAAATACTATGGGATTTTTAAAAAACCATTTGTGAGACTTCTTAGGTCTTTCTATTGCACGCAACATAGAATGAATGAATAAATGACTAACTAAATAAATAAATACAGCCACACTTCATGCAGGATCATAACTTAGATCTTCCAAGTAGAACAGAATGTTCATAAGCAGTTGTTTTGGCTGCATAAAGAACGCCAACAGTCTGAGGTTCACCCAGCCATCTGTCTCCACAAGGAAATGGAAAGTCGTTGTCCACAAGGACATGTTTAATTATTTCTGGAAGGCGAGTTCCAAATGTCTAGGCAAGAATTTTAAACCAGCCACATTTGTCTCCCAAAACAGAGACAGAGCTCACGCAAAGGCTCCTTCTTCTCTGTGGGTGGGTGGTGGCCTTTCACGTTTCTCTCCCAGGACAAGCCCATGAAGGCCCTATGGTAGGCATGAAGCAAGGAAGCATCTGTGTGTGCACATTTGCCTCTCTGAGCTGGCAGCAGTAACTGCTGCAAAGGGCCAGGTAAAAGGAAGAGGTGGTGACAATGGCAAAGAAAGAGGAAAGGAGAAGTTGGTGTGGGTGTGAAAAACGTAGCTGGTTTGACCCTCTTCTGTAGACACTTGAAATGCCCCTTCCATGAACAAACATTTTCATGTATGCACACATATATACAAGACATACAAATTCTTGTCCCTGCAGGCATCCTAATTCCTTTGTTTTTCAATGTTTTGCAAGTGACGTAGTGCTGATGTTAAATGGCACTGAGCTGGGAAGGAGCATGACCACCCTGGTGAGGATAAGCACACACACACACACACACACACACACACCTTTCTTTCCCTTACCCTTTGCCCTTCATTACCTTTAAGCCTCCTTCCTTCTCCAATGCTGCCCAATCTTAGTGCTGCCAATAAAAAGGTCACTTGGGGTAATGGGGGATTCCCCTTCCCCCTCCTCCTCCTTTTTGGGTGGGTGGGTGGCTGCTTCTCACTCTTCTCTCCCCCTACAAGCCCATTAAGGCACAATGGTATGTATGTAAAAGAATGAGTGCATGCGCGCAAGCGTTTTCCTCTCAACGTCCTTTGAGGAGTTCCTGATCAACCAGTGACATGACCCGTCATGAAAGCCCACGGGAAAAGAAGAGGCCCGGCCTCTTCACTGTTTACCATATGTAGTCAAGAGAAAAGTGACAACTGAAGCTCACACAGGGTGATCTTTTGCACAGGAGTCCAGCCATGACATTCTGTACCATGTTTGCTCTCAGATTCTTCCACACACCTAATATTAACGGCACAAAGAAAGGAGGCTCCCCTTTAGACTCACTTTGCTGCAACAGTGCCTTCTCCCGCTCAGTCCTCTCACTTTTCTTCCATTCCGCCTGTCTTCTCAGCCACTTTTCCTCCATTTCATCAGATATGCTGTCCTGCCAAGGAGAAATCACAGAGAGACATTTGAACAGTTGCAAAAAAATGTAGATGATCATTCTAAGCACCCTCTTTCATTTGCCGAACTTTCCAGCACTTCAGGAGGAGACGGGTTGCAACCCAGAAAGAGGGGGAATGCTCCGTCTAAAAGTATCTCTGGCCTGACCACCTCCCTTTTTGGATAAAGGTTAAAGGTAGATTTTGTGGGAATATTTGCCATCCTCCCTCTCCAGAGAGTAAACTTTCATGCAAAGGGGTATTTTCTCTAAATGACTGAATCATCTTTTGCTGACCAGTCAAAACAACAACAACAACAGAAGAGTCTTTGATAGTACGTTTTAAAAAAACCTTTTTGTCCGATACTGTATATTATTTATAGATTATCTTATTTCTGTAAATTCTACTGTCAGCTCAGCAAAAGGATACTATTGTAGACTTGCCTTTATGTTTGAATGGAAGTACATTCATGGGAAACTATGGGTGGTTCTGAAAGAAATAGGTGTGCTTCAGCCCTTGATGGTCTGGATGTGTAACCCTATATTGTGCACAAGCTGCTGCTGTTAAGGACAGAATAAGGAGAGACAGAATGGTTTCCTACAGGTAAGGCTGTCAGACAAGGGTGCATTTTATCCCCTTATCTATTCAGCTTGTACATGGAATGTATCATACGGAAAGCCAGACTAGATTCAAATGAAGGTGGAGTGAAAACTGGTGGAAGAAACATCAATGATTTAAGATATGCAGATGACACCATCTGACCAACACAGAAAGTAGCCATGACTTGAGATGATTTTTAGGGAAAGTGCCCAAGAGGACTGCAGTTGAAGAAGACAAAAACCATGACTATAGAAGAACTGGACAACTTTAATGTTGACAACAAAGAAATTAAAACAGGGAAAGGTTGTGTATACCTTGGCTTAATCATCAGTTCAAATGGAGACTGCGGACAAGAAATTTGAGACGAGGATGAGCAGTGAATTAGAAAAGATCATCACGTAGAAGGATGTGTCACTAGCAAATAAAGCCTCAACTATCTCTTAAGGTAAAAATGATGAAACTGAGGCTTTCATATTTTGAGCATATCATAAGAAGGCAAAATTCTGTGGAAAAGACTACAATGGTAGGAAACGAGCCCCAGGTGATTCACGATCTTATCCTGGAGAAGGATGCAGATCTGGCATGTATAACCGAGACATGGATTGCCGGAGAGGGGGGTCCTCCCCTTGCTCGTGTCTGTCCGCCCAGTTATGCTATCCAGCACCAGGGTAAACTGGAGGGGCAGGGAGGAGTAACCATTGTTTATAAATCCAGCTTGGAAGTTACTAGTTGAGTTTGCATGAGCTGAGCTTTTCTGTTGAGAACAGGATGTTTTGGAAGTTGCTCATTCACAGGGTTGCCATAGGACGTAAGCAACTTGACAACGTGTAAAAAGACAACAACATTTAGTTTTAGTATTTTCTATGGAGTAAAAAAGCACCTCTCCGGAAGGGATGCTGTGTTTATTTGTCTGGTAGTATCCCAAGATGGCACCGGTGGCGGGCGGCTAGCGCTTCTCTCCGCCGCACCGGCTTGCCTCTTGGTCTTTCCTCACTATTTTATTTGTCTTTTTTTCCTTTTTTCCCCCCTTCTTCTCTTTCTCTTCCCTCTTCTTTTCAGTTGGAGCGAGTGTGATCTGATAGTGACAGACCTTGTGTCAGTCCCCTTGTCATGGTCAGATCACCACCTAATAAAATGTAACCTCACACTGGCTCTCCCCCCTCGCAGGGAGCAGGGACCTATTTCCATGGTCTGCCCTCGAAGACTACTGGATCCGGTCGTATTCCAGGATGCCATGAGAGGGGTTACTGCTGACCTGGCTAGCGCTCCTGTTGACACTCTGGTTGACAGCTGGTCCACCGCTGCCACCAGGGCCATAGACACGATCGTGCCTAAACGCCCTCTCCTCCGTAGAGCTCGGCCAGCGCCCTGGTTTAACCAGGACCTTCGAGCAATGAAGTGAATGAGGAGAAGGCTAGAGAATAGATGGAGGAAGAACCCAATGGATCACAATTGGATAGCTGTTAAGGTCGCAACTAACCTTTACCTGAATAAGGTAAAGGCTGCATGTCGATCATTCTTCGCTAACCGGATAAGTGAAGCGTCAAACCAGCAGGCGGAGCTATTCTGTATAGTGCACAACCTATCCGGAACTGGTTCGGGTGATAGGCCTCCCCCTAGTTTTTCACCTGACCAGTTTGCAGCATTTTTAAAAATCTAAAGTGGAGGCCATTCACCGGGAGCTTTCCCCCTTTTTGAATACAGTGAGTCGAGCTGAGATGTCCAGCGCTCCCTCTTGCCTGGTAATCTTCGACTCCTTTCAGCCTGCGACGCCTGACCCTGTGGACAAAGTGCTTGATTGCTGTCGAACTACCACCTCCTCCCTTGACCCTTGCCCAGCCTGGCTAATCAAAGCAGCCAGTCCGAAAACAACAGAATGGGCCATTAGAAAGAAACTTTACATGGTGGTGGACGAAATTGGCAATTATAGGCCCGTCACCAATGTTTCTTTCATGAGCAAAGCGGTCGAGAGGGTGGTCGCTGATCAGTTTCAGGGCACACTTGGATGAAACAGATGCCCTGGACCCATTTCAGTCAGGCTTCAGGCCGCGCCACGGTACAGAGACGGCATTGGTTACCCTGTACGATGACCTGTTGAGGGAGGCTGACGGGCAAAACGTCTCTGTTGGTCCTCCTCGACATTGCGGTGGCCTTTGATAGCATCGACCATGGTATCCTGGGGAGGCTCTCCAAGTTGGGAATTGGTGGCTTGGCGCTTGCCTGGATCTGTTCCTTCTTGGAGGACCATCCCCAGAGAGTACAGCTTGGGGAGAGTGTCTCGGCCCCATGGAGTCTCAAATGTGGGGTTCCACAGGGGTCGACTATCTCCCCAATGCTGTTTAACATCTATATGAGGCTGCTGGGTGGGGTCATCAGGGGGTGTGGAGCATTGTGTCATCAATATGCGGATGACACCCAGCTCTACATCTCCTTTTCACCAACTGCAGGTGATACCGTCCTGTCCCTCCAGCGCTGCCTGGGGGCCATACTGCAATGGATGCAGGAGAACAGGCTAATTT